CCCAGGTTATACCAGCCAGTCTGTTCTGTGTTTATCCATAGCAATGTAATGACCTCAACTGGGATTCGAACTCGGCTTTCCAGTTCCTCAATCCGAGCCGTAATCTATAACTCTACGGTGCCTTTTCCTGAATTAATATATTTAAATAGTGTTTAAATAAATGAAAGAAAATCCCTCGGTATCTGCCATTGATGGTAATTTATGCCTTTAGGATAAATCTCTAAAGGTTTGGTAATCAAGAAATCTTTGAATGTAGTTTCTGCATCTTTTTTGTAAGATAATATCATTTGGCTTTAAGAATTGGAACTAAAAAGTGTCAGTCAATGGGCGAGAGATCAGGAGAATTTGATGGATGTGGCAAAGCCCTGTATCCCAAGTCGATGAGTTTCTGCTGTGTCATGCTGGCAACATTTGGCCAAACCTTGTCATAAATCAGAATTCGATCTCGTCGGTTAACTAGTGCCGGTGACATTTTACTTAACAACAATAATACATACTTTTCCTCGTATAAATATGGTCTCTGTCGCTTTGGAGTGTTTTTTTTTTTTTTTGTGTGTGTGTGTCTTCAAGCAATACTTCATAACTGGGTCTTTGATTCTGTACATATACATACGAGGGTAAGTAAAAAAATTACTTTCGCCATAACATACCTGTACATTTGTCACACTTACTTCTGCTCATGCGTGCTTATAGTTGGTATTATTGTGATCACGTGATCGATGTTTGAGCTTCAGCGGTCGAGTTTTCTGGCTGTTGTTACAGTGTAAACATGGCCGCTCCGCTAGCAGTATGCAACGAAGAGAAACAAAGAGAAGTGATCCGAGTCTGCAAAAAAACTATGAGGGAGTTATTCACATTTGAGATGTTGCAGTGATCCGAATTTGCAGAGATCATGCTAACTACTCGATGATAAATCGCCGGTTCTACTGAATCTTCTCTTCAGTGATGGAAGTTGACGGGCGTCCTGCTCCTTCTTCGAGCGTCACGATTGTCCTGCCACTTTTAAACTTCTCGATCCACACTTTTCAACGCGGTAATGCACTGTCGCCGTATTGTGTTAAAAGCCACCGATGAATCTCAGTGTGACGTCGTCCCCCGGTCGCAGCGTCGACTGTGTCGTTCGATCCCGGTCGCGGCGCCAATTGTGACGTCACGTGCTTCCCAGGCTCTGATATCCTGGTCACGGACAGCACCAACTATGACGTCGTCCCCCGGTCGCAGCGTCGACTGTGTCGTTCGATCCCGGTCGCGGCGCCAATTGTGACGTCTTTGCCGCGGCGTCAGCTGTTCGCTCCTCGCTGCTCCAAACGTGACGTTCTAACCCTTTGGTTAGATTGATACCAGCCTCGCCGTTCCCAACCCGCTTCCAACGCCTGGTTACCAGGGTAACTGCACTGATCTCCAGTCTGCCTACCCACGTTGTGAATTGATCAGACAGACGAGATCAAACAGGGGTTGGGGCCGTAATGCAAGTTGAGTCTAACGGGGGTGATAACACACAATTATGTATAAAAGAAAATAAAATAAAAACTCACAAGGTCCAACGTATCAAAGAAAAAGGTAACAAACTTTTTATGTCTAATTGCTCGGTACATAGGACTATGTCTGCTTCCCGACCCGTTCTGTGGATTGTGGCACGACGCTTTTACTAGGCAACTTTAAGGCTTCCAGTTGTCTGCTCTCTAAGAAATTTGTGTTTCGGTGTGTCTTTGGACGAAAGTCGAAAAAAAACTTATTTCTGTGGTCTGATTCTAAGTCGCTCTTCAAACTACTTGTTCTTGGTTGAAGAAGAGTCCAGAAGTGTGCGTGAATCTTGGTCAGCTATCTTGACGCGGTTTCAACACTGGGCGCTCATCTCTGCTTGTCGTCCACGGCTCAAAACTCTTTCGCCGTCCGCTGCTCAAACTCCAACTTCGTCCGCGGCTGAAACTCTGATTTCTGTCGGTTGGGGTCCCGCTTTTATTGACGCAGTCAAAACTGGGGTGGGTCTGTCGGCGCCAGGGGTTTTTCGATAATTCTAAATACGTATCCACCCTTCTTATTTCTGGTTAGGGATTTTCCATTTTCGGTAACTCACTCTCACTCCCACTTCCTTACTGTGCCTCTGAGGGGCGTATACCCGCTTCCCCGCTTCTTCGTATCGGCTCCTTACACTTCCACTTCTGACAAGGGCGTCGACCGATTCTCCTCGTGCGTCACGTGACCGCTCTCGGCCAATGAGGTCCTGGTCGGGTATCTTTCCTCCTCCTTCGTGTGTCATGTGATCTTATTTAGCCAATGTCGTCTTTAGTCGGGTATGGACAATCCGTGGCTTTGTTTTGGGGAAAGAAACACCTTGCTTAAAAAACAAAAATATTAATTTAAATCGCCCTTATCATGAGCGACTGCGATGACACCTTCGGCTTTTTAACACGTGGTATTTGTCAAGCAGTTTATCGCTAATTGGATATGACCTAAGAAAGGGATTTCTCAGACCTGTTGGCGTTTTTTTGAACGAAATAAAAATATTTCATTTTCCTCCGGCCGAAGGTCCGATAATAAAAATCTTTATTATCTCAAAAAAAATTTTCAGCGACATCATCTTGTGTGGCTTTTTTCCAATTCTGAGATTGTCTGGGTTTTCGTATTAATGGTTTGCCTTCATATCCTTAGATACACTTCCCCACCCACTTAGACTTTTACTATCATCCCAATGACACACTTTCCACTTGTTACTTATCAATATTTTTCATTGTCCCTAAACTTCGTTTCTTCAACCAATTGATAACAACTTCCATTTTCCCCAGATCTCTGTTAGATGCTTGACCTGGATATTTTTCGACACCTGTTATCTGTCAGCCGAGCGTGCGTGTGCTCGCCTATGACCTGTTTTCGTATTATTTTTTCTTTCTTTCTTCTTCGTTTTCTCTTTCCTTCTTCCAGATCGCTTGAACGTAAAGAAAGAATTATTCTTAAAACCCGAAATATTTTTCGGCCCTAAATAATTATTAAATGGTTGATAAACCGTAAAAAAAAAAGCAAATCATATATCTATGAATATTTCTTTTCAGCTCGTCAGGTATGCATGGTGCCACATCAGCCTCTGATAAACATTCCGACCAGAGAAATCGGATCAATGCTCTTTGACCTTCCTTAGTCCACACTTCTAGCGGAGCGGCCATGTTTACATTGTAACAGCAGCAAGAAAAATAGCGCGATCAAGCCCAAACTTCGATCACGTGACAACAATAGTACCAACTATAAGCACGCATGAGCAGATGGCAGTGTGATAAGCCTAAAGATATGTTATAGCGAAAGTGCAGATAATTTTTGATTTACCCTCGTATATATCGCAAATACTTCTTCTTTTGTGTGTCATATGTTTCAGCGTATAAGCTATAATGTCTCTCCACAACTCCCTGCATTCTTATTGCTATAATTTTAATTCATTACAATTCCTCTTTGTCTCTGATCTGTTAGTAATTCACATAAATTTGTTAAGTAGTTTACTGGTAGCTTTTTGCTGTTTCTGTGGCTTTTATTATCTGTCAGTTAAATTCTCTCAGTTGTCTTTGCTCATTACGTGTCTCAAGAAAATTCAACATTTTTTTAAAGTTCTTTCCCTTGTCCTTGTGTTCCCTAAGTCTTCCTTGTTGTTCATATGTTTTGTCCATGGTATTCTTAGCTTTCCTTATTAGAATTACATTTATGTGTCTTCAACACTTTTCATTGTCTGTGAAGAAATTGCCCAGCATTCGCTTCCATTACATAGCAACTTAGAGCATCATTTTTCTATCGAAACATCTGCCGAGTGGATTAGAGTGTTCCATCGTGAATTTGGTGGTATATTAACTGTGAGTTTAGTCCTGGGTCAGGTAGTATTTAGTGTAAACTTTTATGTACCGTATTTCCCTCGGTTTCTCCACAACTTTCTGTCATTTATAGCTCTTGATAAAGTTTGTTTCTTTATTTCCCCTTAAACCTTGTTCAGTCATCCATTTAAACCTTGTTTTCATCCCTCTTGTTCAATCTGTCCTATTTTTATGTACCGTTTCCATTCAGTGCATAGGCGATCATGGCTCTCCACTAATTTGTAGGTTTAATAAATTATGTCTTTCTTTATTCTCCTAAACCTTGTTCAGTCATCCATTTACCCTCACTAAGTAGGTTATGCGTTGTTTTCTCTATCCCTCTTGCCTTCAATCTGTCCTAACAGATCTTCTTCTTTATGTACCGTTTCCATTCAGGACATAGGCGATCATGGCTCTCCACAATTTCCTCTCCTTTGTAGCTCTTAATAAATTATGTTTTTTTGTTATCTCTCCTAAACCTTGTTCCATCTTCCATTTACTCAAGCTCACTCAGTATGTTATGCGTTCTTTTCCTCTGTCCCTCTTGCCTTCAATCTGTCCTGTGAGTATTAAATTTTCCAAGCCTTCTTTCTTAATTATATGCCTTGAAATTTCAACTGTCTCTTCTTGATGTTAATTATAACTTTCTTTTTGTTGCTATTTTCTCTAAAACTTTTTCGTTCGATACATGGTATTCTCAGCATCCTACTGTAGAACCACATTTCTGTTGCTTCAAGTCCGTTCTTTATCTTTGAGGAGATTATCCAGCATTCACTGTCATATAGGAGGACAGATATTACGTAACAGCTCAGTAATCTCTTCTTTGTTTCTGACGAAGTTTTTTTGGTTTTTTAATAATCTTTTTACCTCTACTAGCAATAACTGAGCAGTTTTGAAGAATAATAATAGGAGATATGGACAACAGAAAGAGAAAAATCTAATCCAGTAAAGGCTCCTTGAAGGTTACCCGGGTCGAAAGAGACCTGAAGAAGACTGGAGAATACAGCGGTTGAAACGTTGTGATAAGTAACAACAAAGATGAGGACATTAGTCCGATTGTAAGTAATGGTCGCTTATCACCACAGAAATGATATATTACTTTCTTTTTCTCGTAGGATTTTTTCCCGCTCAAACTATTTACCCGCCCTCTTGGGTGGGTAATAGGAAAAGATGCATTCATTTACATTCAATTTGTTGTTTGTCATAAAACTCGGGCAAATGTAAAATGCGAACACAAAAACATTCCTAACCATTCTCCTCTCTCCGTTTAATCTCTATCCTATTTCTCTTCCCCTCTCTCTTTCTCTCTCCTAATTTGTCTTTATACTCTTCCTTTTTTGAGCTGTACATCTATCTATCTATCTATCTATCTATCTATCTATCTATCTATCTATCTATCTATCTATCTATCAGGAGGCACGGTGGAGTAATGGACAGGGGTTGGAATTGTGGAATCGGAGAGCCGAGTTCGAATTTCAGTCGTTTTACGTGCTAATACCATTGAGAAATGTATGAATCCTCTTCTTCTCCACACAGCTTTGGGCAAATAGCAAGACAAACTGGGTTCTATAGCTTTGGGTGGCAACCGGTGTAGGAGAAAGTAAAAACTGAAAAAAATTCAAAAACTCTATGTAGCCCTGGCGTAGCACATACTATACAGCTAAAGAAGGGATCGTTCGATTATCCCGACTACGGTCGAATGATTGATTATCTATCTATCCTGCTTTACTTTCTATCTATCTATCTGCTTTACTGTTTCGCTCTCTCTCTCTCTCTCTCTCTCTCTCTCTATATATATATATATATATATATATATATATAGGGTGCGGAAAAGTAAAAAGTAACGCCCTTTTTTATTTAATAACTTTTATTGAACAAAAATAACTTACGGTCGTTTCAGAAATTTATAAGTATTATCACAAGCGTATAGGAATAGCCAAAGTTGCCTTCCAAAAGCTAAGCAGTGTACTAAAAAATAGAAAAACTTCGCTAGAAAAAAGGAAAAGAGTACTGAACTGTTGTGTGATATCTGTTCTCTTGCATGCCAGTGAGTGCTGGACAATCTCCTCAAAGATGAAGAGGAGACTTGAAGCAATATATATATTATTTATTGCTCTATCTCTCTCTCCTTAATAATGTTTTCTTTTTCTCATATACGCTTACACTCACTGACCCTTTGCATTTTAGTGGTTTTATTTTCTTGGTTGATTAAAAAAAAATGTTACGACATTCACTAACTTCTGGAGTGACGTAAATAATGCAAAGTTTTGTGCAGAAATAATGTTGAGAAGTGAACCAGCACTTGATACTCTCTACGTTATCACCCATCTAGGTACTGACGTTGCTTAACTTCGCTGATCGTACGGGAACCAATGTTTCATCGTGATGTTGCCGTAAGTCTTTTACACTACTCGGACATCCAAGCTACAATACCTGATATTTCTAAGCGGTCACCCATCGTGGAAATGACGAGGCTCGACGTTGCTTAACTTCGGTGATCGTACGGTAACCGGTGTTTCAACGTGATGTAACCTTAAGCCTAATGTAAAGAGAATAAGAGTGAAAGTGAGACAGAAAAGCAAGCAGAAATATTTCATTATGTAATACACTCTTCGTAGAAAATGCTAACAATTTGTTTACGACAAATGCAAAAGAGTTTTCAAATCTGGATGGGAAAAAACAGAAAAGCAAATCCAAGAAAGCATAAAGAAAAAAAAAAAAGACAATGAACAGAACGAATTGATGACGTCATCCTTTTTACTGTCACGTGTTTTTTTTCTATGAGAGAAAAACATATTGATTCAGAAAAATGAAAAAAAAAGAAAAAAAAACTAGCGAGATGTTTACATGCATTTTCTCAAAGGAATGTTGTTAGATACGGGACATTCATAATCTACAGGCGATGTAGATTTCATCATTTTGTAAAGATAGGAAACGGGTAAACAATAAAAGGACGGGGTAATTTCTTTTAAAATTCGCGGTAATATTTCACAAACATTCAACAGACATCATCATTTATATGTAGATATTTTTTTCCTTCCAACTCCCTTAGCGAGAGAGCTTCTTGATTTTGTCCAACGGGCAGAATACAGCGGCCTCTCATTTTTTGAGGGTTGGACGGGCCCTACTAACATTAATTATGTTTACTTTGTGTTTATGGTTAATTTGTTATTGAGTTCATCTCCCTTCCCTCTCATTTTTCATCTTTAGAATTGTATATATAAGTTATTATTATCATTAAATTTTATGGCATGGGGCGCGTTTTGTAGGTCTCCATTGTGAAGATGTGGTATTATGGTGTATGGAGGATTGGTTAGTGACGGACAAGTTTTAGTGGTGAATGTTTAAATTGTAATGAGTGAATTGGTCGTGAATCGGATTAGCTAGGTATAAGATAGTTAGTGAAGACCAGCCTCAAACCCCCCACTTTTTCGGCCTTGTGCCATAATTGTATTTTTATGCAATAAATATCCATTTATATGTTTATATCTTCGAAATTCCAATCACCTGAAAAAGGCCGGAGCGTACAACGGCCGAAACGTTGTGAATATGACAATAAAGATGAAGAAAACAGTCTGAATAATTTAAGTAATGCAAGTAAACATCATTTTCTTAGAAATAAAAAAAAAATTACCCACACGTATTTGAATTTAGAATTTGGTTGTTTACAAAAATCAGTTTCTTTTTTTGTCAAACGCATTGCTAGAAAAATGCTTCTAAATAACATGCCCCGTGATATTAGTTTGGTTTGGTTTGTTTAACGGTATGTCAACTCCTTCATGGGTCATTTAATGCCGAAATTTACTTTCCCTGCGTGCTTTGAAGTAATAATAGTAACTTTCCAAGAGTAGCTTAGAAGTGGCACAAGTCCTAAAGTAAGAGGCAACCAGTGAAGACCGAACTCACTACTCAGTTGTAATTGTCCAAGCGAAACAAACTTGTTAACCATTACGCCGCCTCGTGGAGGCCTTTGAAGTAATAATATATGTTACTCTGCTTTCACAATTGAATACAAAAATGGATTGCTGGTAACTATTTTTTTTTTACTATGCAAACGCATTGCTGGTATTTTTACTATAAAAATGTATTTTATACCTTAATAGTATTCCAATTTCAGTTTGGGGGTCCACTATTAGCCCATAGCTGAGAGTCTCAAAGGTGCTACCAGCCGGCATCAGGGTGGATCTGCGAACAACAGCAATTAAGAGGCAGTTCTCAAAGCCTCCCGGTTAAAAAGCCCCTTGCTGCCGGATGTAATTTGTCGTCATACCCAGGACGTGCTCCGTTATATGCTCAAAACTGTTGAAGGCACGAATGTTATGTTACTCCAGACTTCCACGGCGGAGATGACGTGTCCATTTGGATATAACTTGTGCATGTATCCAGTAAACACTGTATCTGTAGGCATTACGATTCTACTCTAAAGGTTAGAAAACATTTGAACAGCTCACGAGAACCGGATATAGTACAGGATTTTGCAGCTACGATCTGTGAGCAGTACTTTTCCTAAAGTAGTACTGCGAAGGAGATTGTAGAATCTACAAATTAAGTTTTTCACGGTCATTCCCTGAGAGTATTTGGCGATATTTTGAATGTATCTATATACATATACCTTTATGAATATATATATATATATATATATATATATATATATATATATATATATATATATATATATATTCGCATATCTTTAAGACTATGTAGATATGGTGATTTTCTAAGTGTGGCTTAGAAAATCACCATATACACACGGTTCTAACATAAAGGCCAAAAATAAGGGTCACCCAGTAAAGGCCGAACTGATGACTCAGTTGTCATTGATCTTGCGGGACAAGCTTGCTAGGACTGTGTGTATATGTATTTGAGTTCATTTTGTTAATTTTAGTTTAGCACCTCATGATAAACCACACACTTCATATCTCACCGAACATACAGACTACTTGTAGTCCTGGTTTGGGGATGGATTGTGGTAAACCATTATCGTTTTCGTTAGATATGATTATATTGCAGCCACTTTTCACTACTGGCGATGATTTTACCGAGGAAGTGGCCAGTTTGCTATAGTAATTGACATACCGATTGCGTTTAAGCATGAAACAGACTGTGTGCTGACTTCAATGTCCATTTTATATTTGCATAGGCTCTATCCCTGATTTTGAGCACTTTAACTCATAAATGCTATCAGCGCACGGTAGAGAGGAAAGCGGATTTTTACGTACTTATTCTTCGAATAAACTCGCCATTGACCGGGATAGCTCAATTCTTAGAAGAACTTTGCAGTATTAGCAGTAGTAGTCATTGTTTACAAATTCACGCTTTCTCTCAATAGTGCTCGACCAGTATTAAATTTTCTGCGGCGTATATATTGTCATCCACAGACAAAGTGTTTCGTTTTATCACAGTTCATCAGTGTGGCTAGACATCCGATTGCTTCAAGCCGGCATCGAAACACAAAGGATTTGGTATCAGTCGGATATAATGCGTTTATATATCTATATATAGAGCATCATAAGATTGAATCTGATCTTGGTAATATCAGCCTGGTAAAATGATCCTTGTCTTCGGCATCTTTGAGAATTGCCTGAAAACCATACCACGTTTTTACCGCAACCAATAATTTTTGGGAACCTGTCGATGATTGTGCTAGCACGAAATCACAAGTCATCGCGACCGAGGATTTGCGTATACTGGCCTTTGTTCAAACTGATGATCACAACACCAGATTATGTGCTTATTTCCGATAAATTGTCACTAATATCCACACAAAATAGTTGTTGTATAAACCACATTTTGGTTCTGAGAAGCATGGCTCCATATCTTCACGACGTGGAGCAATTGAGTGGCCATCACGACCACCAGCCGTAACACCAGCAGGCCTTTTTTTCTTGTGAGCTGTGCTGAAAGATCTTGTTTACAGACTCAAACCGAAAACAATTCTTGAATTAAAACAAGCAATTTCTGATAAATGTTCTGAAAAGCATGTAGAAATGGGTCAAATCGTCCGTAGAAGTGCTACCACTACGGGTCAATGTGGAACAACAGCAAGTAAGAGGTGGTTCCACGCTCCTCAAGATCTCCCGATCAGAGGCCTTGCTGCCGGATGTAGTTTATCGTCTTACCCAGGATATTAATTAAATTAAAGACATTAGTTCCATTTCATCCTCGCGTGAGGATGAAATGGAACTAATGTCTTTAATTTAATTACAAAATTAAATTCGGGGCTTTTAGCTTCCATTTTTGAAACATGGTTAGAACTGTGTAGTGAAAAAAAACATGTTTTAAATCAATTAATTTATAATATTAATGCTCTGTAAATTTACATTGAACACTATTTTGTAAAAATAAAAATATCTATAAGAACACCGGATTATATAGCTTACTGTTCTTTCTTTCTTTATATATATATATATATATATATGCCCCCGAAAAATTAATTTCGGTCGAGCACTTTGGAGAGAAAGCGCAAAAGTGACTACTACTGCTGATAATGCAAGGCTCTTCTATGAATTGAGCCCTTTCGGTCACTGGCATGTTTATTCAAAAAATAAATACACAAAAATTCACCTTCCTCTCCAATGGACGGCGATAGCTCAGAGGTATAATCCACGAGTGATGCCAAATCAGTCGGGTTTCGATTCCGGCTTGAAGCAATCGAATGTCTAGCCACACTGATGCGCTGTGATACAGCGAAATTGTCTGTCTGTAGATGACAATGTGTGTATATATAATGAGAATATCAATATTGTTTTAAAAGTCAAAGGAAAGTGACGTGACTTGTTATGTTTTAGTATGTGTGTGTGTGTGTGTGTGTGTGTGTGTATGTATATATATATATATATATATATATAAGATAACGATATATATTTTTATATATCTAGAACAATATTGGAGAAATTGTAAGACAAAATTTTACTTGTGTTGCATAAAATGTTTCCACTTTGTCATACAATTTCTCCATATCTATCTATTTATTTCTCTCTCTCTCTCTCTCTATATATATATATATATATATATATATATATATATATATATATATATATACACTAAAACATAACAAGTCAGTTTCCTTTGACTTTTAAAACAATATTGATATTCTCTTATATATACGTTTCTTCTGTTAATTTGAAAGTAAATTTCAAAACAAATTTTAACCGTTACAATTTCAACGCCATTTACTGGAAGTCTACCCAAAAGAGCAATGATAGGATTTTTCTGTATTAATAATTCAAATCGACTCTCAATCGATCCTGAGTAATTTGGGGTCGGTACCAAACACATTGAGGAACTCTGGTCAAATGGCCCATGGTCGTGAATTTACTTCTAATGCGTTTATTTAGGGAAACGCCTGTTTCCCCTTTTTGACGTCTTGTCTCCTTTGCTTCATCAGTTTGGCCTGTCGAGAGTGGAACGGCATTCGTCGGTGAAAATAATAGATGTAATTCAGTCTTCATATATTTGATTTTTTTTTTTATAGAAAAGGAGGCTTAGTGATCAGTCTCACGTATTTGTCATTTGATTCAAGAATCCCGCTGCCGAAAGATTTCATAGTTTAACATATACGGATTTTTTAAACAAATCTCTTGATATGGCGAGATAATGTGTTCAACTTGCTCTTACCTCAGCTGAATCTCCGTCGTTCATGATTTCCAATGAAATTCTTCATAGTCTGCTGGTACTTATCGACCTTTTTTTTTTCTTCTTTTTTTTTGCAATTTCTAACGTAGGTTGCAAGCTCTGAAATTATCAAATATTTTTCTTTATCCATCAAATCAACTTTACAGCCCGATGTAAAGTTCCAAACTCGCATTGAGAATTAAAAGTTCAGGACATTTCATACAAATGGCTAGTCTTTGTTTACTTCTGCGCAAAACGAACCAGCTTTCACCGTAACTGCGCAGAAAGATGTTGTCACCATTCAGCAAAAAAACTGAAATCGGTGATACGTGTTCAAATTTTGCCCGAGTTTGTTACATTCATATTTGCTGCACGGATAGCCTTGGGAAAGTTATTATCTATTTTTATTCAGTGTGGGCACTTCAGCCTTGGCTAGCAACCAGTCTAGTAGAAAAAAAAACAACTCTGAACTAAAACTTAAAGAGTGGGGGGGGCTGTTATCAGTTCTCCCAGGGTGTGCTACTGCTTCTACACAAGTCATATGTGCAGGTAGTTTGGCGGTCCAATTCTAAAAACGGGACAGTTCTGCTCTCATACGTCGAAAGATCCCTACACGCAAGCCACCAATCTGCCACTAGGTGGCATGCCTCTAGCGTTTACCGTTGGTGGCCCGCTGTCGGACAGCCTGTGTGTTCTTCTCAGCAATGCTACCACTGGCGGACCTCCATAGGCCGACCAGTGGACCGCCGATGGCCTGCCAGATTTCACACAGATAAAGTCGAATATGAGGTGTTAAGTTCTGGAAGACCATATATACATCGTCGACATTTTTTTTTATTTTTGTTGTTAAGGATTAATCTTGTAGAAAGCAAGGTGGGACCTTCCTGACAAAAGATCTGGTATGATGATTTGAGGCAAGGTTTTATCAGGGTGAACGCTACTCTTGATGCCCCAGTCAGGTACTCACGATATTCCTAGTCCATCGAATGTTTTTATCGAAACATCCTTCCTTGAAGGTTGCCATTCAAGGTTTAAGAACCCATCCTAACTTATATATATATATATATATATATATATATATATATATATATATATATATATATATATATATATATATATATATTAACTATACATATACCTATGTTTTGGAGTGATTAAATTTTCGTTGTCTTACCAACTCATTAGGCATGAGATATAGCTTACGATTTTTAAAAAAATCGTAAGTTATCTTTCGTGCTTGATGAGTTGGTACAACAACGAAACTTAAATCGCATCCAAAACTTAGATATAAGTATATTTATTAATATATATTTCTTAGCCCTGTCTAACCACATTGAACATTGTTTTGTTTACACCTTAGTCAGTTTAGTAAATATTTATTTCATTACGGTTGCTAATATCTAGTTATTTCAATTAGCCACTTATACCTCTCTCTCTCTCTCTCTCTCTCTATATATATATATATATATATATATATATATATATATATATATATATATATATATATATATATTTATGTGTGTGTGTAAATATTTTCAGATAGAGTGTATCTGTAGAGGGACAAAATTAATAAAAAGAGACAAGAGGAGAAATTATTCCTATGTCGCACGTGTTTTGTATATAAACAAGTGCGAAAAAATAAATCCTTATATGAGAGAGTGAGAGAAACAGAGAGAGAGAGAGAGAAACAGAGGGAGGGAGAGAGAGAGAAACAGAGAGAGATAGTGAGAGACGTCCACCTATCGCCCGGTTCGTCTATTTTGAACAAGAATAGAGGTTTATTCCCTGTTTCCTGTTTAGGATTGGGCTTCCGGTTCCCTTTACAGTCTTTTTTTCTCTTTCACTTCAAATAGTTCCTTGCATCCTAGTGGCGTTATCACCTTGCTCTGGGTGGATTTATATATATATATATATATATATATATATATATATATATATATATATATATATATATATATATACCTTTTGGCAGTTAGCTCCTAGAAGAAACACATCCGCTTTTTGACGGGTCTTGTTTTTGTCCTGTGAGGTGACATGCCATCTCTTACCAGCAAAAATGTGGCTGAGCTGTTTAGACATCAACCACCTGTCTATGTGTCAGGTTCTACTAGGTTACATGAGGCACGGTGGAGTAATCGGAGAGCATAAACTTGGGAAAAGTATGAATCCATCTCTTCTCTTCCCCCCCTCATCTTTACGTAAATATCAGGGTTGGGTTCTGTAGTTTTGGTTGGCGACTAGTCTAGGAATTCAAACCAGCCTGGAAAGGGTTGCACTCCGTCAGGCTATCTTGCCCGAGACATGCCACTTCTACTGCGGCTGCTGTGCGTGTGGTGTCGCTACAAACCCCAATGGATCACAACATCTTACCTGTAGAAGGCCTGACCTGTCTCAATTTCATAAAGTTTTACCAAATGATAAAACATAGATATCTATTTTATTTTTTTAGTTTCTTGCTCAAGTTAACGAGAACTTTTCAGCATCCCACGTACATAGATACACTCATTACACACGTATATATATATATATATATATATATATATATATATATATATAAAGTGAACATAGAAGTCAACACTTAGAGGCGACAGTCGGTTTCATGTTAGACGCAATCGCCTCTAAGTGTTGACTTCTATATTCACTTTTATATTTACACACGCCTATCTCTGATATTGAGAGCACTTTATCACATAAATATAGCACATCTTAAGACTATATTTCTTCATATATATATATATATATATATATATATCTGTGTGTGTGTGTGCTTACTTAACCATTGTATCTATTTGTAATATGTCGATGTAATATGTCACACGAGAACGAATGTTGTAATAATTCTTTCGTTATAATTATAGTTTTACGTTTTTGTGCTGCGCGACACGCAACCGTAAAGAGATTAAAGAAACGGTCCATAATGTCAAAAATAAAAAATTGCAAAATGATTCTTTCTTTTTTTTTTTCACTACCCTGTCTTCAATGCTGTCACATCCATGACATAAACAGCCGCCCCTTTACATACAATTGTGCAAACTACAAATGACTGCATTGTACCACACCGTACGGTGAATCGATCTAGTTTTCTCTTCGTGCAAAGGAATTTATTAATTAATAGTTTGACGAATCTTGGACTGGTTGAACATGGTTGACTGTCCATATGTGCCATATTGGGATGCTTCCTTTATTGTTGAAGCAGCACAAAGATTATATTCTTGGAAAATTTGCCTAAATGAATTGCTACACGAAAATCTTGAGAATAAAGACGCAGTCTAAATTCTTTAATGAAATCCAATTAATATCAAAGATCATGGCGGTGAATGGAGGAAAGAAAGCAAGCACAAAACTTTATCTATTTTTCCAAATCTTTTTAATTTTTGATTAAATTGTGTTTTCTTTTTTCTTGCTTTTATTGTATTTTTGTCAGAAATTGAAATCCTATGATCTATTTCTAAAAATATTTAATAAAATAAAAAGTAATAAGAAAGTACAAATATATAATAAAGTACAAAGATATAACAAAATACTGAGTAATAAGAAAGTACATAGATATGATAAATAATAATAACAAAGTACAAAGATATAATAAAGTACAAAGAAATATCAAAGTAAAAAGATAGAACAAAATAGTAAGTAATAAAAAAAGTACAACGATATAACAAAGTACAAAAATGTAATAAAGTACAAAGATATAATAAAGTACAATGAAATAAAGTACAAAGATATAAATACAAAGATATAGTAAAAATACAAAGTAATAAGATAAAAGTAAATACAAGATATAATTAAGTTCAAAGATATAATAAAGTACAAATATATAAGAATGTACAAATTAATAAGTACAAAGATATAACAAACTACTTAGTAATAAGAAAGTACAAACATATAACAAATTAGGCAATTCGAGGACTAAAATGTGAACCACATTGTCGTTTTTATTCTGCTCTCTATATAATTTTTAAGACATTGTTTAATGTTTAACATTCTTTTTATTGATACAAATCTTTAAGCTCTGTTTATAATGCTGTTTATAATAAACAGTATTAAACAACATTTACCGGCCTGAATGTCCGAGAAAATATTCGTCCTCCGACAGGAATCGAATCTGTATTCTATTTTGTTTACATTTGGATATGCATTGAGCAGATATGAATGTACGTGAGAGATTCATGCAAGATTGTAGTTTAAAAGCAGTATAATCGACCATGCTAACCAAACAATCCTCTGTGGCCCAATCGGCTAAGGCACGTCAGGCTATATGACGGTTCCGTATAGGATACAGGTTTGATTCCTGTCGGAGGACGAATATTTTCTATGAAAATTTCTCGGACATTCAGGTAAATGTTATTAATACTGTTTATTATAAACAGAGCATTTACTTAAATATTTGTATCTATAAAAAAGAATGTATAAACATAAAAATGTCTTAAAATAATTGTCGAACTTTGTCCATTTCGTAATTTATATATATATTATCTAATGACAGGTTCTTATTTTGTCTTTCTATTTGTTTATTCTTTATTTTCTTCGGCTACAAATATAAATTAATGGCACAAGTGAGGATCGAAATCACGCACTACATTACCATCTTGACATAAAACCCTTTTGTTTGATATTAATTTTTTTTCATCATTTTTGCTTTCTTCATTATTTTTTTTCTTTCTCGCTTTTCTTTATTTTACCTTTTCTCTTCTCTCTCTTTTTCTTTTGCGTTTTCTTCTCTTTTCTTTTTTCTTTCAACTTTCTTTTACGTTTTCTCTTTTTCTTTTCTTTTCCTTTTCTCTTTATTTCTCTTCTTTCTTTAGCTTTTCTTCTTTCGCTACTTTTTCTCAGTAATTTCTTCTTTTTTTTCCCAGTATTTATTATTTTTTTGCATTCTATTTAAATCTCGTTTTTGTTCGTAATTTTCCCAAAATACTTTTCAAGAGAAATGAATAATAGTTTGCTAACCGATCATCATTTTTGTTCTTATGAAAAGATTTATAATAATAATCAAATAACACTTATTAATAATAATCTTTTTCCTTATGACAAGGATGATTTGAAAACCAGAATTTTTCCAAGTGTTGTAATATTTGTATTGGTGTTTTTATTTTAATATTTATTTCTTAAATGAAATGTACCAGAAGCGTGAAATATAGTTCGAAAAATTATCATGACATTTTTTGCGGATGGTTCGATTTTATCAGAATAAAGAATTTTATTTCAACAAAATCTATATAGAGCGAGATAAAACGTGATTCTCGTTAAACAGACGGGAGCTTAATTTAATGAATATAATTTACTCAGATGAAAATGCCATGATCTACGAATCCTCGACGATAAATAACGTACCGAGCTATTTTAATTTATTGCTTGTTTTTGAAGAGTTAACAACGAGAATGTGTGGAATACGTAATCTTTAAAATAGATGAACGAATAAATAAATAAAACTGAGTTGAATTTATATTCAAATTTTCAAAAACATACGATTAAAATAAAAGTAAAGTGTATTTTTTCTTTTGTTATTGCTATTTTTTAATCATTTCACCCCAAGCAAGGCGGGAATAACACTATTGCGTAGGGAGTTACAAAGATTGAAAGTAAGAGAAAAGACTGAGTATAGTGATGATTAAGGTAAGGACTAAAGATGAACGGGATTCAAAAAGACAGAAGATGACAATTGATGTCGCATTTAAATTCTTGAAGATTATAATTGTCAGAGAAGCAAGTAAACGGAAAGGAGTTCCACAGGTAGGAAGTATGAGAAAAGAAACTGTTGGAGTAAAAGTAACAGTTGCATTTAGCGATTTCAACAGTAAAAGGGTGAGGCCTAGATGCGAATCTCGTAGAACGCTTAAGTTCATGTAGTCGGGACACCAGGGAAACAAAGTTCGTCAGAGTAGTTGCTATGAAAATATTTGTTGAAAAGGCAGAGGGAAGACACACCACGTCGGTGAGAAAGACACTGAAGTCGAGATGCCAAGCCAGAATTGATTACATCCTTATCGTTAATCACGTTTTGTCTCGCTAATATAGACTTAGTTGAAATAAAATTATTTTCTAATGACGAGGATTCATCGGTGCAACTTGTCAAAATAAAAGTTTTACAAATTATCTTAAATTACAAAATGTCTAAAACAATTGTCTTACTGTCTGTTGTCTTGGATTCTCAACCAAAATTTTTTTTACTATAAATTTTACTTCAAACATTATTATAGTGGACACTTCTTATTTGAAATAGACGCCCTATTTTTAATTATAAACAAGTGCTGTATTATGTCTCTCGATCTGTTGCATTCGAGAAATCTTAATTTAATAAATAAAATGGGGCGTCTATTTCAAATAAGAAGTGTCTACTAAAATAACGTTTGAATTATTAAAAATTAATTCTTTATATATATACACTGTTTATACGTTATTTTCATGGATGCAACTTATTTGAATAGATGGTCTGTCTTTAATCAAACAATATTAATTACATTTACCGGCCTGAATGTTCAAGAAATTTCGTAGAAAATATGCTTTCTCCGACAGGAATCGAACCGGCTTCTCATACAGATACCGTCATGCGGGATGACGTGCTGTTAACCATTCAGTCACATAAACTTCCGATTAGCGAAACTCATATTACTGCTTATAAACACGCATCTTCTGTGTTGGCTAAAGGTTCGATTTCTGTTGGAAAATGCATATTTTCTACGAAATTTCTCTAACATAACGAATAAACAGAAAATATATTAAAAATATTTGTCTGATTTAATCCATTTCATTATGCATGTATGTATGTATGTATGTATGTATATATGTATGTATGTATGTATCTATGTATGTATGTGTTATATGCATATCAGCAAGACAGTACTTTAATGACAAAATAAGCAATTATTGTATACAAAAAAAGTTTATTTTCAACATAATCTCTTTCCTTGTCAATATAATTAAACTTACACATCTCTAGTACTCACGTAGATTTAAATTTATATTTTGAAAATCAAAGAATATTGCTTTTCTTCTTCTATGTATGGTCCTTTCAGGACATTGGCGATCATGGCTCTCCACAACTTCCTATATTTCGCAGATCTAATTAATGTTTTACTCTTATGATCCCACCCAGTCAATGCTCTGTCATCTATTCACGCAAGCTCATAAAGTAAGTTGATCATGGCTCTCCACGACTTCCTATCCTTTGTAGCTTTAAGTAATGTTTATCCTCTTATTATTCTTTACAGTCCATGTTTTGCCATCGATTTACACATGCCAGATCCTCAGTATCCACAATTATAGACGCCAAGGGAAAATGGGCAATTACTTTAGCCACCAAAGAGATGGTTAATTGCGTACACGGAAGAACTAAGCTGGAAATAAGAAAGAAAAGTGGTTTTGTTAAAGGCACTGTAAGAAGAAAGGCAATATTTATGATAATATAATATCAAGGCGAGCAATGCAAACGATGTTTCAATCACCTGTATACGGAAAATGAAGTCAGTACATACATAAAAGTAGAAAGGAGACAAGTTTGCGTCTTCTCACTGGGTTTATTTAATCTATAGAGGTAGGCGTTACTAAGGCAACTAGGAATTTTACAAGGATTTAATTGTTGGTGGTACAGTCTTAACAACATAAGATACGCAGATGACATTGTGTTTGATAGCAGACACAGAAAGGAAACTGCAGGAAATCCCAGATAGAAGAGCAAGAGAAAACAGGAAGAAAGGATGGGAATCAGCAAGAGAAAAAACGTCCAAGATGCGAGTTACGAATTGGAGATATCAAATTCAAGAAAGTACAGAAGTTTAAATATCTGGGCAACGTTTTAACAGATGACGGAAAATGTGACCTCAAAATCTAAAAGTACATTGGAATAGCGAAAGATGCTTTCCAAAAACTAAATAAAGTATTAAGAAACGTGAAAATTTCGTTACATACAAAGAACTGCTATGTAATATGAATCCTCTTATATTGAAGCGAATGTTGGATAATTTCTTCAAAGATGAAGACGTGCCTTGGGGCAACGGAGATGGGGTTCTACAGAATGATGCCGCGAATATCATGGACGGAACATAAGAACAACGAGGAAGTCTTAAGGAGAGAATGGAAACAAGATTGACGCTTTTACTTAAAATCGGAAAGAAGCAGTTGAAATTTCTGGTATATATGATGAAGAAAGAGGGCTTGGAGAATTTGACACTCACAGGGCATACTGAAGGCAAGAGAGACAGAGGAAAACAGTGAATAACCTCCGTAAAAATGTGTAAAACTAGATGACAGAATAGAGAGTGTGAGGAAAAGTAAAAAGACAAAGGTTACGCAGAGATACAAAGGACAGGACGTTGTGGAGAGTTATAATCGCCCGCTTCCTGAACTGACACGGCACACTGAAGAAAATTAATTTATAAAGTTTTAGGTGCCAAACCTATTTCAGTTAGATCATCTCAGATCTTTTAATTGTTACAATTAATTATATATTAGATATTGTTAATTATCGAGCAGTGATCAGCAAGATGTTTCTCATTGACTATTTAAGAAATATAGCCCTATGCAAAAGTTGTTTTCGTTCAATAAATACATTATAAAAGATACTGGCATAGTACCCGTCAAAAATGACAGGATTATTTACGTACAAATCAACACTTCTGTTAAGGATCAGAATATCCCTGCGCTCTGCTTAAAGTGTCGTTCTCTGCCTAGCATCGGAGTGTAGTATCTGTGTAGTTTGTCAGGTGTCACCTCCCAACATCACTTCTGCTTAAAATCAGACTACGGCATTTTTATCCTATGGGAAAGGTACCCCCCCACACACACATGCACACATAAAAACACACACAAAAATTGAGTTTTATCGGATGATAACATAAAGAACACCAGAGCTTGTTGGTATATAGAAGATTGACTTGTTTTAGTTTTTGAGTAGAAAAACTTTCCACCATTTTTCATTTAAGTTTTAGTCGTATCCATAATTGAATTATGAAAGATTTTGCATGAAAAACGTATTTTTCATCTTGCTAATTAACTTCTTTTCACTTTTACAAACGTGTGCTGAGTTCATGCAATAATGTATAGATGATGATAATCTCAGATTATATTTACGAACAGTGCCAATAACCGGTATATCTATATAAAATTCTGTGACTTCCTTCCGTCCGTCACACCCTCTAAAATCGCCATACATTGACCGATTGAAATCAAATTTTGGTGAGAGGGGAACAAGGTAAAGTTGGTTTTACTAGGGTGCGTAGCTTAGTCCAATAAATTTTTATTCATTATTTATTTTTAAATTAAAAGTTTTATTACTTAACATACAAAATACTCCCACTATTTTATAAACAATTTAATGATTAAAATTCAAATGTTGGAATTAATGATTAAAATTCAAATGTTTGCAATTAAAAAGGAAAAATATTTCTTAAAAAATATTGTTTACCATTAAGTCTTATAAAATTAAATTAAATTAAAGAAATTATTAAACCGCAAAGTAGGGTTTTTGTCAAAGTATTTTTCCAAACAGATCAGTTTATTCAAATTTCATCGATTGGTTTGCGAAATTGAACGAAACGTAGCGATTGCAAATCTTGACAACAATGATAGCGATAATTTCAACAATACTGGGAAGATTTCAACGTGCTGACACGTGTTGCAAAAAAAAAAAATTCTAGTAAAAGATATTTCAAGCAGCTCCTAACTGAAAAAATATTTCTTAGAATACAATAAAAACAACACTATGTGTTTGGAGCTATTTGTTATATTGAAAGTCGAGAAAACTGATACGCCTTATCAACCAGCTTCATTGACTGTACCAATTTTCCACAGTAAAATAAATTATAAGAACAGTACAGCAGTATAATATGTATGACTTAAATATAATTGTTGTGACCAATAATGGATTTATGGGTTTAATCCTTGTGT